AGAACAGGGTACCCAACGACTTGGAATGATCCTAACTCCTGTCAAAGCAGAGGAATTATTTTGCTCACAATTCATAAATAGTAAAAATGTTCATTTGGGAAAACTAAACCCATAAGCTATTTTCTGTTGCCATTCTTTACATCTGCAATAACAATAATAATAATAATCTTAGATTATTGCCTTAGAGTGATATCTAGAGGTTGAAGGGCAGGGGCAGATGGTTTGCATATGGTTTTTGATATGTACCAAATACTGGCATCATAACCAAAATTAGGTGATAAGATTTTCAAAAAAATATTTTTAGTTCTAAATGGACACAATATCTTTATTTTATATATTTTTAATGTGGTGCTGAGAATCAAACCGTGTGTCTCACATATGTTAGGCAAGTGCTCTATCACTGAGCCACAACTCCAGGCCTAGGTAATAAGATTTTTAAACTATGTTTTGGGTTTGTTTGTCTGTTTGTTTTTGATCAAAATTGCTTTAGACTCTTGATAAATTTTGAATCTAGTTGATGGGTATTTAGAGGCTTAATGTATTCTCTATTTTTTTATGTTAGGAATTGTCATTAAAAATAGATAAAATTGCCCTTAAAAATCCCCTCAGGCAGGAATCCTGTTGAAGGAAATGTAACATGCCATTTTCCAGAAGTTCAACCTTGCTAGTGTTTCCTACTGGGTTGAAATAGATCATTCTTTTTTTCTTTCTTTAAGCATCCGATGAAAGAAAAGCCTTGCCAATTTGATAGGTAAAGAATTGCAGTGTTGCTCTTTTAATATGTATTTCCCTGAATACTAGTGAAGTTGGCCCTGTTCCTTTCTACATTTATTAGTCCTATGAATGTCTTCTATTCATATCTCTGGCTCACTTTTCTGTAGGGTCATTCATTCTTTTATTATTCTGCTCTAAGGATTCTTTAGACATTGTATGTATCAACTCTACTGTATAATACATGTGCCACAGTCTTCCTGTTTTTACCTAATCATTTCTCACATATTGAAGATGTTAATTCAAGTATATATTTATTCAAATATATATTTTCCCCATGCTTTACCCCCCCTTTTCATTTAGAAAAAAACCTCCCTTCCAAAATGCATTTTCCTTGTTCTTTGTAATTCAGTATTATACATTACATTTAGTACAGCATATATTTTATGATTTAATATTATTATAATTTTTGCATTGATGAATACATATTTTAGGTAGTAGGGATTTAACATTCACTCAAGTAGTCAAGTTATTATTTATTCTCAAACTAAATCAATGTGTCCTGATGTGTTTGAATTTCCTCCTTCATATTCTAAAAATTACAAAACATATTGCTTGGTGTACATAGGATTTCTTTGTTAATGGAAACCACTCAAAATTTGATGACAGGTGGCTTGCAGTGTCAATAACTGGAAATATTACCCATTTTCCAGAAATAGGTGTTATTTGAGAAAAATCAATGAAGGGACCTTTAAGGTTCCCCCTTCTTTTTTCATTATTTTTTCTTTCATAAGCCGGGGAAGAAAGAAGATTTAAATGGTTCTGTAGGCAATTCAATTGCCCTTCTCTTATACCAAGAAGAAAAGGTATGACATCACCATGAACTAACAACTGTGATGCTCCTGACCTTGAAATAATCAGAAATTCCCATAAGAAGGGCAAAACATTTCAGCTGACTTGAAAGATAAGCTTTAAAATGTAAAGAGTCTTAGAAGAGTTGACAGCTTAAATTTCATGAACATGAGGCATCATACTGACAGGAGTCAACCTTGAGGAGAGATATTTAGTCTACTTTTATTGGGGAATCCAATGCCTCAAAGGGCATGCTGTAGGTGAGGAGATACTAAAGAGGACCAAATTGTGGTGTGTACATGTGTGACAACAGCACAAGTCATTCCATTTTATATACACCTATAATACACAAATTTAAAATGAGTGAATAAATAAATAAATGGAAGACCAATGGAGAAGAGAGAGGGGATTCAGGGAAGGGAGAAGTGGAGGAAAGGTAGTAGATAGTACTAGAGATTGAAATGGAGAAAACTGCATTCTATGCACTTATGAATATGTCAAAATGAACCTAACTATTAAGTATAATTCATTAATAAATAAATAAGGTAAAACATTCTTACCATTGCCAGAAAGAAGACACTTTCTAGCCTTGGTCATGGGACACCTCTTTTTAGAAAGCTGATGTTACTGGAATGCAATCTAGCAGTCTCCCTCTGGAAGATGGGCACGCACGAGTCCCTCCAGAGTAAGCAAGGGAATTCTCTGGGCTGTGCCTTCTACTGCCCCTTCTGATGAAAGCCACACATCACAAATTTAAGAAAATAAGATGATCAAGAGTTCTGAATTCGACATGTGGATTTCTTCATGCAAAGTGACACAAATACTTGTAAGTTACATCTGTGCTACAATGTGAGCTCAACCCCAATTCCAAAGAAGGAAAATAAAATGGTACGCATTATTCCTAGAATCAGTGTTGAAGTTTGTAATTTCAGAAAGGGAAGGGGTAACACTGGGATGATTTGAGTGATAAATTCTCCCAACCCCAAGGGCTACAATAGTTTAGAGGGAAAAGAATGTCCTAATCTTGGTGCCTATCTAGGGGTGGAGGATAGAGCTTCCCAGAGACATAAAGATCTGGACTGATAGAAGCTGAATCTATCGCTAGTTCAATATATAGCTAAAGCATCAAAACATGTTCAATAACAAACAATCTTTGATTGAAAACAAAAATGCATAGTGGTATTTTTTTTCTCAAGCAACAGAATGGTCAAGGTAAGGTACTTTGTTTTGCAAAGAAACAAAGAGTGCATTTCTTTTCAATTCTACTTTTGCTGTCATAAATCAGTGGACCCAAAGAATTCTCCAATATGCACAGTGTTCTACTATAGGAAAGTGAAACACAGTCGATCTGAAATATATCCCTTCACACATACAATCTTTATACCAGATTGTGATTACATCCATGTAAGATAGTTTTTCCTAGCTTGTACTGTCCTTGCTCTGGAAATTGACTCCTCTTTAGGGTGTACTATCGAGTCAAATTTTACAGCTCAAAAAATGAAAACAAAAGCTTATTTATATTCTTAATCTAAGTGCATTGCTCTGTAGACTAAATATTCCAGTGGGACCCTTGTGAAATGGCATCTCTATGACAGTCTCCATTATTATTAAATGATGCCTTCTTTTACTTTAAATGTAGAGGTTAGACTGAGCTACATTTTTATTTCCCCCTTCAGTGATTTTATCTGCTTTCATTTTTGCAATGGTAGTTGTTTTATTGTATATTTACCAACTTAATGATAATCATTAATTGGATGAGCATCTGAACCCATGTAGCTGGCCTCTCTTAATTTTAATATTCATCAAAAACTGCTTGCTAGATTTTTTATTTCACTGCATCACACTTCTACCTAAAATTTAGCATGCTTAGGCCAGTTTCACAATCTATTTTTTTCATTCCAAAAATTCCTTCATGTATTATTTTTCCTTCTTGCACTGACGGGCAGCCAAACCAGACTGAACATTAGTTGAATTGGCACCCTCTGGCTTAAGACAAGACTTGGAACCCTTTGTTCTAATTCATTCAATCTGTTCTAGCAACATTACATAGACTGAGTAGCTTATAAATACTAGGAATTCACTTCTCATAGCTCCAGAGGCTAGGAAGTTCAAGGTCAAGGAAGGTTTAGTGTAGGGTAAGGGCCACTTTCTGGCACCTGGACGGCACCTTCTTACTGGTGGGAGGAATAAAGGGTCTCTCTCCAGCTTCTTTTAAGATGGTAGTAACACAAGTAATGAGGACTCCATCCTCATGACCTAATCACCTCCCCATAGCCCCACTTCCTAGTACCATTATCTTTGGGATCAGAAGTTTAGCAAGTGGATTTGGGGGGTAGGTCTACAAATGCGCAGACTGTGAGAAATAGAAATTCAGTGGTCCACGTCAGAGTACAGTAGTAAGCCTCACATGTAAAACTGGGATGTAAGAAAGGCAGCTGGAGGGGAAATAGAGCAGAGCAGAAAGTGACAGGCAGTTGACCTATACAATAGCACCACAGTCTATAGATATGGCAGACCCAAAGTCCACGCACCTGAACAGCCCTCGACAAACAGGAGATGGGGCAGGGGTCGACCTGACCAAGAAAGAGAGAATCTCTGTTGAGAAACAGTAACTTAGGTAAAGAAGAACTGCACGTGTGTCAGAAGGCATTCACTCAAGAAGTCTGTCTTGCCACAAGGGATCAAAGGGAGGTGGGAACAACTAAAAGTATATATTTTCAAATAACCCAAGAGGAGACAGTGAAACCTATGCAGTGTCCAGGAAGACTGTGCACCCCTGGGTCCCAGCCAGTGAGAAACCAGGGTGAGGAAATAAAAATGCTGACTATAATTACCCTGGGGGAGCCTGACCACCAGGCACCTGATCTTGCAAGACCCTATTAACAGCCTCACTTTCCCTGTATCTAGGTCCCTCGGTCTATTCTTTAGGTTTGGACAGGTGAGTGTGTTTCTCACAAGACCCCAGCAGCCTTTACCTTCTCTTCTCTGCACCCCTCCCCCATCTAACCACCACTAGCATTGGTTTTCTTTTTGTAACTTCAATCTCCTAACACAAAAGGAAGCAAGGACAATGAACCAACAGAAATGATGTCTTCACCTCCTCCCCATGGCCATCCACGTGCCCCACCTCTACCAGAGTCCTGAGGAATGACAGTGCTCACTCTCTTAATCCCTAACTTACAGCACTGCTAATGACTCATTCCTGTATAGCTTGTCATTTTAGCTAATTTTTTCTTACATCCTTCTGGAATTTTAGAATTTTTTTTAAATGAAGATCATCTTTATTCAAATCAATCATCATTTTTAGAGCATATAACACGCACCGAGCACTGTAACAGAAGGGGCTCCCACCTCTAACGACAGAGCTGAACAGGGCCCAGCTCTGAGAAGAGGAGAGCAAGGTCTGTGTGCAGGCTGAAGGTCAAACGTGTTCTTACCAAGCATGAGTGATAGAGTCTGAAAATGAAGAGCCGAAACCACCAAGATCAACAAAGAGGTGACGTCTTTGTGTGACACTGATAAAAAGGCCATGCTCCCTTAGTGAAATGGCAGGATTTCCTAGTGGGCAAATAAAGTAAGGTAAAAATTAATTAAGAAGAAAACTCATTAAGAGATTGCTTATTAATTAGAGTGCCGCTTTGAGCACACATGGCTGAATATCAAAGGGCTGAGGGAAGCATAAGGTACTTGGCACTGTCAGGAGTCAGGCTCCTGCTGAGAGACCCACATGTGAGCTTCCAGGCCTGACCATGGGCCACTGCAGGGACCTGACGTGCTGGGCCTCCAGGGCAAAGCTGTCCTCACACCTCAGAGTTGCTGGCAGCCACTGTGTGGCGGTCTCTGAGGAAAGCTGCAGTGGAGGACTGGGCCCTGGCTGGCCATGCTTCTCCCACATGCACATCGCTACCCTGATGCCTCTCTCCTAGGTCTCCTTATCTGAGGCCTTAGCAGAGGTTGTCACTGGGTCTCTGCACTGGGTCCCTGCTGGAGAGGTGGGAGACTTGGGAGCAGATGCTTTTCTACCCCCAGCCCTCCCCTGCTCCTTGACTTCAGGGTCCATAAAAATGCTGGACGCACTTGCTCAGGGCTTCCTCAAAGTGAAAGAAATCTCCGTCTACACTGATCCATCCAGTCCCTGTTGCTGCACTACTCCATGGAACAAATATGGTTTGTGGAACAAAAATGGCCATTTCTCTTACCGGAGGTTCTCTTTTATACCATTGCAGTAAGTGAACACAGGCATAGGTCTATCACTCTGGGCTTCAGGTTTAATTGTACCCCAACCCCTGACAGTTTAACTCCCTCGACCAGCTCAGCTGAGCTTTTCTAAGAGCAACATCTGGGCAGAGCCCACCATTATTTATTCTGTCCCTTTTTATTCATAGAACACCCATTTTTAGTGGGATGCATTCCTACTCAACTAAGGATGGTCTCTTCCAGTGTCCCTTAGAGGTAGATGTGGTCATATGACTGAGTTCTAATAGAAGCAAAAGTGTTATTGATATGTTACTTATGGGGGTCTCCATAAAAGTGAGAACATCACCCTCTATCCCCTCCTTCTTCTGAGCTTGAATGTAGATATAACAGATGGGGCTGTAGATTCCATTCTAGACTATGAGGGGACCTGTTGAGTTGAATATGCAGTATGACAGCTTCCTCTAACCCTTCTAGAACTACAAGTCCACACAAGGACCTCCTACCCCTGAACTCCACAGGAGGGAGAAAAGCAACTTTAAAGTTACTTTTTTTCTTTGTTATGAGCAGCAAAATCTGAATTCTAACATATATAAGCATCTCTGGTTTTATTTAAGCAGATGAAATAATCATAAATCTGTGTGTGAGCCACATTTCCCCTCAGTGGTGAACTGAGAGCAGCTATCACTGTTGTAAATATACTAGTTGTAACATAAATTTTATTATCTTAATTGTTGCAAATGTCCCATCAATCATTCTTTTTTAAAAATTATTGATTTTTTATATATGATAGCAGAATGAATGCATTACAATTCATATTACTCATATAGAGCACAATTTTTCATATCTCTGGTTGTATACAAAGTATATTTACACCAATTTGTGTCTTCATACATGTACTTTGGATAATGATGTCCATCACATTCCACCATCCATGTCCCTTCCCTTCTCAGCCCTCTGCCCTATTTCATCTCTTGCTCCCATGCTCCCCTTCCCTACCCAACTATGAATCAGCCACCTTAAATCACAGAAAAATTCGGCATTTGTTTTTTGGGGGCCATCAATCATTCTTAAAATCTTTTCTGGAGCTTGTAGGGAAGGAGTATCTCTTTTAATCCTTCCTCTTTCATTGGTACTGGAAAGTTAAGAGGTTACCAGCTCAGATGTACTGTGCTCAGGCTTAACAAAGTGACGAGGAACCTGAGCACCAGAAACACAGAACACCAATATCAAAGCCATAAATCTCAGCTTTTCTATGTTCTACTCAAGGACCTTGGGTCAAATATTGAACTCTGCATAACTTCAGTTGTCTCCTCTAAAAATGAGGATGATAATTAGCAAAAGGATTTCAAATATCCAGTAGAGTAACTACCACATGGAATGGATTCAGTAGACATCCTTCCCACATTGGGAATCACGGTGCTCTGAATTATCCTCGGTCAGCAAGGTTTGGCCACCTCCCTTGTGAAGTAATACAAGGGTGCTATTTGGGGGGCAGGTAAGCACAGGAGGTTCCTTCTCTGGCTCCTCTTCTCCAGGTCACCTCAGCCCATCTCCAGGGCATGGGCCTGGGGAAGGTGACCAGCTGCATTTCTCCCTTGTTCCTACAGTCTGCAGGAGCACAGGGTGGTCCAGGTCCCTGGGATGGCAGGATTAGGAAAACATAGGGGACGAGGAAGTGAGACTTCCCTAGAAGGTGAGGCCCTGGCAGGCACTTTCAGAGCCCATCACCAACTCCAAAGGCTGAAGGGAGTGATGGCTGCAGGCAGAACCAGAATGGGACTTTTCAAGTAATAAAGCAAGGAGTGTGGGACATGTATGCAGGAAACGCAGCATGCTCTATAGGGCAGCCACGTGCGGACAAAAGAACGGAGACCAAAGTGGACCTAACTGTGACACCATGGAGGTGGACCCCTGGGTAGTGAAAAGAAAACTGCATAGAGGAACAAAGGCTCTTTAAGTGAATATCCAGGGGTTCTCATATCCGTCGTATAACTGGAACTGTGATTAATTCCTTGAAATGCGAATGTTCATCCTATACTTTGTCAGTGTTTGTTTTTTCTATGAATAGTTAGAAGCTTCACCCTTGAACTTTCTATCCATTGCTAAACTATCATTTCTACCTAATGAGCAGATGAAATATAATTAGTATATCCTTTTGAAGAAGAGAAATGCATTCACAGTGAAAACATTTTGAACCAAAATTCGAGGTAAGGTTAAGGGTGTGCACTGCTGTCTGTGGTGATGTTTTGAATTGGGACCTCTTGAAAAAGAGATGTTAAAAATTTCATAAACTCAGAAGTAACCAGGAAAACTGTATCTTTTTTTTCCATTGAAAATGATTTGAACCTAATCTTTATTTTCTATGTGTAATTTTTCAAGCTCTTTTTTTTTTTGAGGACAGTACAATGACCATGAATTTCTTTTATAGACATGTTCTTCCCTGACACAATAATAACCTGACTTCTGTGGCACCTTTAAATGTAACAGTACTTATTTTACCTACTTAAAAAAATTCAACATGAATGCAATCACAGATTGTGCTAATTATTGAGCTTTTCAAACCTGTTTTCACCATCTTAAATTGAGTCCTTTAGATGTGTACAGTAGACCACTGACATTCACAGGCTTATATTTCATGATTTGGACAATTAGCAGTGACTACCAATGTCTATGACAGATACTCATGTGTAATTTCTTAAGACTGCATTTGAATTTCCTGCTGGGAGTTGAAGCTCAAGAATAAGTCACCTGGCTAGTGATCGCAGCTTTGGGGCTCACAAACACCTACACTCATTAACAGAGGTGCTCAGTCACATTGCTGAGAAATTGTCACAGTGACTGTATTCTGATACAACTCAGGTACACTGATGATGTAATACAGTGACTCTCGCACCTGAGGGCACATCAGAAATAAGGAAGGGTTTCTAGAATCTCAGATCGCTGACCCTATCCCCATACTTCTGAGAAGGAAACTTGCATTTCTCGTAAGTCCAAGGGGCTGAGGATGTCCTTGGTCTGGGGACCACACTTTGAGAACCACTCATCTAAAGGATGATCCATCTCATCATTAGCAAATGATCAAACTCAATTGGAAATTCCAACTAAAATTCAAAATCGTCAATGCTAAGTAAGATTTCCAAGGCAAACAACAGAACATTGCCAATGAGACTTATACGGGATCAAATCTAATTCCTTGAAACAGCTTGAATCAGAATTGGTATTTTGCAGATAATCTTATCTATGCTGGTTGTTGATATTTAAAAACACTTCTGCATATTATTAAACAATGGTTGCACCACATGAGTTCATTCCCTTTGCACCATGACATACCAATCAGTCCACCAAGAAATTCAACAACCAGATATTAATAAATGTCCAATGCAAGGGGACTTTACAGAACCTTTTTTGATTGGTGCTTTCCCTTGGTTGTCAACAGCAAACCGTAGTAGGAACCAAACCTCTCCTCTGCCCAAGATACATTGGTCCTCCTCAGCCCCACCCCACCATATCAGGAGGCAGCTGGGCATATGGCCAGAGAGCATAAGGATCCCTTTTGCTTAAAAAAAGGAGTGGGCAAGCTTGTTTATGCACCTTTCAATAATGGCATCTTTCTACTATGCTGTAATATCTAGATGCTGTGAATCCTTGAGGCTCGCAAATCACCTAGACCAAATGACTTGGGTCACAGACTCTGCAACAGAAACTCAACCTTTGCAGGAGTGCCCCCAGGTTACTCTCTTAGTGCAAGCCAGCAGAAATGATGAAGAGGTAAGGATGCAAGGATTTGCAAAGCAGCCTTGAAGTGTTAAAGACTCAGCTAGATGAAGATGTCAGTGATGGTTTGTAAGTTGTCTCACATGTAAACAGACGACATCATGATGAATGCACAAGTATTCATCATCACCATATGTTTTTCTATAGTCATTAGCTCTCAAGATGTTTGAAGGCAGCACCAATACAGATAGCCAGGGGAATATCTTAGATCTTCGACAGATTTTTTCCTCATGTCCCTATTGGCTAAGTTCTTCATGTGTGAATTCCTCTACCTGAGATTTAATCACTTTTCCTCCTTAGAACCTTAGTGAAACAATTGGTGTACCTTATAAGAAGCTCCCTCCATTGGAAGCTAGTGATCTAAAAGTCCCTATCCCCTCACCTTTCCTTGGCCTCTCATGTGTTCAACTCATTAGGCACATATACTATACTAGGCATGGAGCTAGGTTCCAGGGCTATGAATGAACACAGTGTCATTCTGGCTATCACAACACAGATGTTCTGAGGGGAAATCCAGGTTTTCAGGAAAGGGTTTAAGAGTGGGTCAGGAGTAACACAGGGAGGAGAAAAGT